CCGGCGCCGAAGTTAGTCCCGGTGGATTACAATACCCTAACTACATATGCTAACCAGGTCTCTCACTTACTTAGCACCCTGTCCATAAGATCATATAAAACCACACTAATTCCGATCTAACAATTATCACATGGCGCCAGAAAAGGAAGGCTAGCCCCCTCACTCTTACTGCCATCCCTCCCCTCCAATCCGTTAAAATATAGAACCCTATGGCTCTGTAACCCCTTGGATGGCCCCTTCTTCAAACTCGATGAGGGGATCCCCAGTATGGGAGACTCGCTATTGCTTTTGTTTAATAGTTTCTTGTGAAGAGGAGAGAGATCTGGTATTTAGAAATAGCCTTTCAGCGGCCAATCCAAAGGTATGTATACTCTCTCGCCGATCTCCAGACGCGTACATGAGGAGGGTTGGCCATCCGGTGGCATTAATACGTATTCGACCGGGAAGTCTTGTAGTTTCTAAATACACACTAAGTTATGGTAGAAATTATCCTCCCGATATTCTCTGTTGGTCCGTTTCATGCTATCAAATGGATGGCGGGCGAGTGAGACCAAAGGGTGGCATGGAAAGCATATTTTCTAGCCCCCACTCCACATACTTAAGTGTATAGCGTGGTGGGCTAGTCGTTATCTGCCACGCACGATACCGCACTGTTCACTATGCCATATTTGTCACCTTAACCAGCCCCTATGGTAGGTACTATCTTTAAATAGCAGTTCGCAATGGCCTCAAGAATGAACACGCTATCGTACACCGTTTTTCCTCGGTCTAAATTGTACTCTATATACATTTTATCTATCATGCAGGGGAGGGAGGAGGGAAAAGGATAGACAAACTGTGCAAAAAAAAAGAGGTCACAGGCAAGAATTTACAGCTGCAACAAAATCAAATATGATAGGGCGAAAACTGCAAGCCATAAACTAGACCTTTCTTACAACAACAGAATTATTCCCCCCCCCCCCGTGGGCCAAACCCTACTGCACTTCGTAAATAGAAACTCATGTTCCTCACTCGACAAAAAACCCAATTCCCGAGGAAGGCCCAGGTGGTAGTGACATATGCGCATACCCATCTAATATAGCCCCACCGACTATGATACAAAGGTTGATATCCAAGGGCAACTTCTATGAGTAATGCGCTCCCGTACTTCAAATCGTGGTGGGGTTCACCACTATCCGAGACTGTAGCAGCGATACCACTCTTTTATGTCCACGATCAGCGGCATGCGAGAGCGGTGTCATGCCGTCATCATCGGGCTTGTCAGGACTGACCTCTACCCGCTCGAGTAGTATTTTCACCACTCCCTCATGTCCACCCGAAGCGGCATACGAGAGCGGTGTTCTGCCGTAATCAGCTGGCTTGTCGGGGTTGACCTCTGCCCGCTCGAGTAGTATTTTCACCACTCCCTCATGTCCACCCGAAGCGGCAAGCGAGAGCGGTGTCCTGCCGTCATTACCTGGCTTGTCGGGGTTGACCTCTACCCGCTCGAGTAGTATTTTCACCACTTCCTCATGTCCATTACGGGAAGCCCATAAAAGTGGTGTACACCTCAAGAAATCCTCTCCGTTGAGATCATAGCATCCCATCTCTATCAAGGCAGTTACAACCTCAACAATTCCGAAGAGCGATGCGCAGTGCAGTCCACTGAAAGGAGAACAAGTCATAGAATCACTAAAATACAAATATTTTACTCCCTTTAAAAGAAATCCGGTGGGTATATGGCCATAATTCTCCTGCAGTAGCTTCAGCGCAAGTGATTTCGCTCGGTCGGAGAGTTGCCTTTTCGCGTGCACTCCCCAGTATACGGAGCAATATTCTAGAAAGGGTGTGTTCTGGCTGTTAAGAGTCGGATCGGCTGAAAGGGCCCAGACCTGCCGGGAATTCAGATAGGTCAAACAGATTTCCGCCATTTCCGAGTGAGGTCCACAGAATATATCGGGATGGGCAGAAAGATACTCTTGCAGAGTAAAGTGGATCAATCGCACAGTTGATGCCTCCTTATCCACAGTGATAAGCCCTTGACAGCAGCCCACCAATGTCGAGATCGAAGGGACGTTGCCAGAATTGAAATCCGTAGAGCCTAGCTCGACTGCCAAGGCGTGACAGAGCTCATTTGCTTGCAGCGGTCGTTCCGCATGGCTAATCCACATCAACGCTGCCATCCCGAGTTTCGATTTATCTCCACCCTGCGCTTTTATCCGTTCAATAGTCGCATCATAAGCATCCCCCAATCCCAATCCATCCGTCATTTTACTGAGCTTTTCCCGTCTCCGATGAGGCGTCGATTCCTGCAAGATTGCCTCGATATTCAACGAAACCAGCAGAAACCTAGTTGTATCTATTAGCAAGTAATCTAGGAGGTTCTCAGTATCATTGCCACTTCGTACATTTCCGATACATTCTCGGGAATCTTCTCCAGGATTTCTACCTCCAGAGTCTCGTCCATGGCATCGGGAGTTTCATCCTCGTCCAGTCTAACGCGAAGGTATCTAACGATATCATCTCTGCTCGGGCCTACCGATACACTTCTCACTCTTCCGATAAGGCGCTTCTCGATCTCAGCCCGAACATGTGGCCTTCCGGTCATGAAGATCCGTGTGCCTGGGGACTTCTCGAGGATTTGTTTCAGCGAATTAAGGACCTGGACTCGATGTAGTGCCGCACATTCATCGAGAGCGTCAATGCATATAATCGTGCGCATTGAGGACGCGATGGTCTGTAGCATCTTCACGATACCATGAAGCTCCAACGCCCGCCCACCAATGGCCTTCTTCTGCTCTTGAAAGGCCCGTGAGATCTCCTCTGGAATACTTTCCATTCCGGTAACAATCTGTCTCAGCAGGGAACCCAGCATACTTGTCGCTGATTGCTCCTTTCGCGCTGCAAAGTCAAAGTAAAAACACACAACGGCGATGTTTTGTCCCCTAGCCTCATCGCATAACCTATCCACCACCAGCGAGCTAGAATCACAGCCTGTTAGCGCCGGCTCTCTACCCCTCTCCACTAAGAATAATCCCAGCTACCATACCTGATAAATGTCTTGCCGACTCCCGGATCTCCATAACAAAATAAGACTGCGTTATCTGTTTCGCCTACCCCACTCCAGTCATGCCAGCTTCTGAATTCCTCAGTTTGCATGACCCATTCCCCCACATCTCTGACACGGCGCTCTTGAAGGTCCCGATGCCGTAGCCTAGGCTCCAGGGGTGATAGCCAAGCTAGTAGTTGAGACCGATCGTCGCCAACAGTATAGTTGTTCCACACGTTAGTATTATAAGAGTTAGAATTATAAGAGTTCGTAGTATTGAGGCAGTTGGTGCTATCGTTGACAGTATTTTGAGACATCCTCGACCTGTTGTTGCTTGCACTGTTGTAGAGGAGTTATCGAGTATGGTCGGTTGATGGTATTCCTAGGAGCTGAAGAAGAGTGGTGCCTAGCTGAAGAAAAGCGGGGGTGTAAAGTACCGGTGCTAAAGCGGCGCCTCAAAGCCACTTCTCATACCCAACTATAGCAAATAAAAGTCCCATTACTGTAAGCCAGCCAAAGGTGTGAAGCCAATCTCACCCTTGCTGTCACCACATCGGTAATATAAAATGAGGCATCCCCTACACTCGTGTCTCAGTCCTATCTCGCACGGTAAAAACACAGTCGCCCACGAAAACGCGGCGGCAGTATACTGAGTCCAACTAGCTAGATCTAACATAAACTACAGCAGCCTAGTAGCAGGCACCGCGGAATCAATTTCGCTTAGAAACCACAAACAGCATCAGTAGTGATAACACCGTTGACTCCAAGTTAAGTTTTACAAGGCTTTCCTTCTCAATATGATAGAAGCTCTCCCCCCACACATGACCAGCACAATTGCAAACAAAAGCCACAATTTTTCTAATCAAAATTCCAGTGTTCTAGGTAAATCGCAAGTGCATTACGCAATGCGAGCGACGGCGGTTTCTTTAGTCAAGACACTGCGACACCAGTAGTCTTCGCAGGGGGCATACAAGAGACCCCAAGAATAACCACCCAATGCCACCCAATCATGTATCTCACTAATATTCTTTTCAAGTCTCCCGGCGTTGATTAGACTCCAAAATAGAAAAGTCTCTGCACCCCCCAAGCACTTTGGCTGTCCTAACATGGTCCTAAGATCACTAAGAAGAAATAAAAACCCCGCAACATGACAGTTACCATAGCTTGAAGTGCTGCAGTAAGGTTCTACGCGATGTGTCCAAGGATGGAAAGCCCTTCTTTCACACAAGGGCTGAACGCTCTACTGTAAAGGTATGATGTCAGTCATACCTTGAGGACCCCGTCCCCCAAACATTACAAACATGACAATCAAACACATTACTACACACCTACCGCTGTTAGAAAAAAGACATATCATAATAAATTACAAATCGGCAACCATCGATCCCACCGGTTGCCACCCTGGGGGGAGGCAGTCCCCTCAAACCCCCCCCCCTCTATCAAAAGTAGTGTTCGCCAATAGACGAACCGAACTTGGAGTTCTAATCGTTCGCAACATACTCCCACTTAGATAGACTGAGCCCAGCCTTCCTTGGTTGGGATAGAGCATGCTCTTGCAAGCATTTGCATGAAATATCACCCGGGTGAGCAACTATCGAACCCAGCTTCCACCCCGGACGCCGAATTCAGCCTTGATAGATTGCAGTGCCCTAGCCAAAAGTGTGATAACCAGGCCTCTAACTCAATTCGCACCGTAGTCTATTATGATACATCAATATTATTATCATCACAGAGCTAATTCCAACCCAGTCAACAGATCTTATTTTATTCAATCTAAAAAACGAAAAAAGGCTTCACCCCACTTCCTCCTCCTCTCCTCTCCCCTCCCTTTCCTCCCCCCATCATCCACGGCAAAAACTTGAACAACACAGCCAAGTGCTATCTCATATCGTTGCAATTGCCCCCCCCCTAAGGTAAGGTCCCTTTTTTTTCCCTTCTTTTTTTTTTTCTTCTCTCACATCTCCCAGAGGCGTCCCCGGTCCCTTTTTTTTTATTATTATCTGCCGCGCTCCAGTCAGTCAAGTCAGTCCCTTTCCCAAAGTCCAGAATCCTCAACCACAGGTAGTCCAAGCTGAATCTAAATCACCTATAATAGCACACAGCTCGATCATTCCAGTTTCCACTGTAAAATATTGGAATGGTTGGTGTATACGAGTAACTTAACTGATACCACAATACAGTGAGTTAGCCAGTCCCGCTACCACTGCCCACAACCTGCCAAATCTCTCATCTCCAACCTTTTTTCACTTCTTAACATTCGCATTACTATCTATTATGATATATACAAAAAATACCCGTAAAAAAAACGTAATTGTCATGACAGGGAAGTCAAAAGAGAAATGAAAGAAGAATAAGAGGGGGGGGAAAAAAGGATTTCAAGACCCCTGAGTACCAGCGCAGTATGAAATACTATACTCGAAACCGACTTCCTCAGCCAAGCACAAGAACTCTCCATTAAAGAAAGGAAAAAGGAAGAGAGGAAAAAAAATTCATTCCCTAGATCAAGTAAGTTACAGCCCGCCACGAAAACACGGATCAACACGACATATTTCATTCCTCCCACCCTACATTACAAGTAATTATTGTACTTCCACGATGAACCCAGTCAGTCCCGGGAAGTACCAGCATAGAAGCAAGTACGAGTACAGTACGCGCTATACGATATCGTACTGTACCCACACCGCACTGGTAACTTTATCAAGATACACAATTCTAGAAGTAAAACGCAAGCCACACGACTCACCGTACCAGAACCGCATCCGAAAGCTCAGTCAAGTCGAGAAGTAATGGCGTACGATATATCTACGATAAAGTACATACCATACCGTACCTACATCACAGCACAGCACAGCACTCACCCCCCCTCCGCCCCTACCCCTGGGAGCCCAATTCTAAACGGCCGCAGGCCACCAGTGGTCAACCGTACCGTACGATAGTCTACAGGATACTCCAGTGGCAAATGATATGTATAAACTATCTGGAATTCCGCGGTGTGTTCGATATTGCAGGAGAAAACTCACAGAACCCCGATTCCTATAACTGAAATTAATCTACACGTATCATACTATGATACTCCCCTCTTCTGTCGACTCAAATACTCCCCTCATCCTTCTCCCCGTTCCGGACCAACCATAAAGGTACTGTGCCGTACAGTACCATACAGTAGCCCCCCCCACGCCGAAAACCAAAAAAGAACCTCACCATGATATGCATAGTGCCGATTCGACAAATCACCCCTCTTTCAATTAGAAACGAAAAAATGAAGTGAAAAAAAATGCCCCCAACCATAGTCTACAATCCAGTGTAATGGATGGATGGATGGATGGATGGATGGCTGTATGGACGACCACATGTCCGGCATCCACCCACCACCATCGAGTCCACTTTCCAAATGTGGTATCACAGGTCAAAAGCTTAGCAAGTTAATGCAGACAGACAGGCGGGCATGCAGGGATGCCCGGATATCTGCGATAGGATGAAACCGTAAACAAGATCTCACAGGTGCGTGTGCAACCACCCATCTCACGACCACCGATTTTTCTCTTTGAATCACCGTACCGGGGGCAAACAAATTCACGTCTACTTGTAGACGATAAAAACAAAACAAAAACTCCAACGGGACAACAATTGAAACAACCTCCATCATGTACTTGTATTAATAGAACCAGTTTATCTCTATCATAAGAATGGTGAAACAAGAAAAATAACAGGAAAAAACCACACAAGCCCACCATCCGTAAACATGAAAGAAAAAACCCGAAACCCCACTTTTCATCATTATCATGGCCGACGACAAAGGGAAAAAAAAACAAGAAGAAACAACCGAGCCAGAAAACAAGAAAAACTCGAGACAGCTCCCCTATAGATTACTCGTCTTCATCGGAGAAAACCTCCTCACCCTTCTTTCTCCTCGCCATACGGTCCTTCTTCTTCTTGCGGAGTTCAGAGGAAGTGAGCTTCTTCTTCTTCTTACCACCCTGAACCTTGTTACCCATGGCATCAAAAACATCCTCCTCATTTGCCTTGTCCTCGAGACGAGGACCAGCACCTTGACCTTGAACCCAATTGTGTCCAGAAGGCGTCATTTTTCCGTCAAGAACAGACCAACTATTAAACACATATTAGCATTCGGTCAATCATTCACAGATAAGACAGGAATAAAACTTACACTTCCTCAGTGAGATCCTTCGTGAACTCCTCGCTGTGCGTGATGATGATAACACCACCCTGGAACGCCTTGAGAGCGCGGGACAAGGCGCCTAGTGAATCTCTGTCGAGATAATTGGTAGGCTCGTCAAGGACGATAAGATGGGGGCGTTGCCATGTCGAAGCGGCAAGACAGACCTTGACACGCTGACCGCCAGAGAGACCCTTCATGTGAGAGTGAGAGACAAGCTCAGCGTCGAGACCGAACTGAGCGCAGTGGGCCTCAATCTCCTTACGGATGAGCTGACGGAACTGACCAGCCTTGATTGACTCGGCACGATCAATCTCCGCAACCATCTTGGCGTGGGAGGCGATGAGCTCGGTGCGGGGTATCCAAGCGTTGTCGGAGGTGGACATGACAATCCACTTCTCTCCCTTCTGTCCGACATTCTCCCCGAGAGTGAACGAGCACTCATATTCGTAAGAGTTCTTGAACTTTCTTCGGGAAGAGATAGAGATGACACGTCTCTGGGAGCCCTCGATCCTGAAGATCTTGTTCATGGCCTGCTCATCGTCATCGGTGATCTTGGTATTGGCGCGGTCCATAGTCTCGCGATCCTCACCGGTCTGGAAACGCCATTGGATGTACTCGGAAGGAGTCTTCTCCAAGTGGTTATCGATATGGGCAAAAGCGTGCTGCTTGATGTAGGCGATACGGATGTTCTCATGAGTGTAGATGTCACCACTGGTTGGGATCAATTCACCAGTAAGGACATTGACCAAGGTAGACTTTCCGGCACCGTTGGGACCAATGACAGCAATACGGGATCCGAGAGAGCACTGGAAGGTAATGTCACGAATCTGGGGCTTGGAGGTACCGGGGTACTGGAAGTTCATTTTGGAGACACGGACGATGGCCTTGGCCTTGGTCTTGACACCCTCAAGGTACCCGGGCTCGGGGAACTTGAAGTTGATCTCGGATGCACCGAGCTCATAGTAAGACCTGGCGGAAGGAACCTTCTCGGTAAAGGCCTTGAGGTTACCCCTGTAACGCTTGAGCTTGAAGCGCTCATAATGAATGATGTGCTGTACAACGTTGTCGAGGAAACCGGAGTCGTGCGAGACAATGATGGATGTGCAAGGAGAGTTGATCAAATATTGCTCCAGCCACTTGACATTCTGTCTGTCCATGTGGTTGGTAGGCTCATCCAGAAGAAGGATATCGGGGTTCTCGAACACAGCACGGGCAAGAGCCAATTTCATCTTCCAACCGCCGGAAAGAGAGGTGATGGGAGCATCAAACATAGTCTCCTGGAAACCGAACTCACCCAACTTAGTCTTGATGTCCTCAACAGAAACACCAGAGCCAGTCTCAGCGAGCTTATCGTATGTCCATCCAACGACGGTCTTCTCGGTATCGGCAGAGTCGAGATCGTGCTCAACGAAGACAGTCTTGACCTCGGTCTTCTTGGGGAAACCCTCAACCTGCTCGTTGTTGATGGCGCGCATGAGGGTGGACTTTCCAGAACCATTGGGCCCACAAAGACCGTAACGCTGGCCCCTCTTCAGTCGCAGATGGGTCTGGTTCAACAAGATCTTTGCACCGTAGGCCAAGTTAAATGTGCAGTTGCAGAGGTCCTCACCCTCCTCATCATCCTCATCAGCCTCCTCCTCAGCGACACCGGGGGCAGCACGCTTCCTCAAAGTCTCAGCGGTACCCTGTGCCTCACCCTCGGGCAAGAAGGCGGCAAAGTATGGGACGGTGTGCTCGGTCCAGATAAGGACCTCGTTCTCCCTCTCGTCAACCAAGCTACCGGCGATAGAAGCAATGTAAGCGAGAATAGGCTCAAACTTGGCAACGAGATCCTTCTTGCTCGACAAGACAGCCTTGACGATCTCGAGAATAACCTTGGGATCCCCGGCGGCGGAGATCTCGGGTATCTTGCCGTCCTTAACGTCACCAACCCGGGTCAAAGTATCGAGACCCTGCTTGGTCTTCTCACGAGCTTCCGGATCGGCTATGTTGTCATAGTTCTTCTGGAGGTTGGGCATAAGCTTGGGCAAGAAGGGGGCAACGATCTGAGGATCATCGACAAGCTTGCACATGTTGTCGACAATAACGGCAGCCTTTCGCTTAATGGTGGTGTCACGATCGGCAAGACCACGCTCGAGAAGAGGAACCATGATGGACAAAGTGGGTGCCTGGACGTTCTCAACGAAAACGGTAGCACCGAGGAGATGGACCGTCTCGGGAACCTTCTCAGGCTTGGCGATACAGCTGATCAACTCGGGGATAAATCGGTTGATATCGTTGTTGGATATGAGAGAGCAAAGCTTCTCCATGGCGGCACGGGCAGCCTTCTTGATCTCGGGCTTGGTGTCCCACATGGCCTCGGAGACGGTGGGGATGAGCTCGGGGAGACGGAGAGCGGTCTGGCCGGGGGCGGTCTCGACGAGAACATCGAGGCACTTGAGGGCGGCCATCTTCTCGGGCCATTTCTGGGCCTTGGTGATCGAGTGGGAGATGGCGGGAAGAACGGCCTTGACAGCGTTGGGGTTGATGGTGCCAACAATCTTCAGGGAAGCAGTCTCGGCGGCCTTCTTAACAGCGGTGATCTTGTCCCCAACAGCGGCGAGAACATTAGGGAGCAGGGAAACGATGTAAGGCTCAATACCGGCAGAAACCTGCTTCAAGCAGATGGCGGCAATGGCAGTAAGAGCATGCTCTCTAGCGAGGGCGTCCTTCTTGTTTGCGAGTTGCTTCTTGATCAGGTTGAGGATCCTAAGTGGCCGTGGTTAGCGAACAAACTCCTTCGGACTCGCCAGAGGGCAAGCAAACTCACTTTGTGGGAACCTCATGCTCTTCAATGGGACCATTAATGAAGGTGGCCAAATTCTCGGCAGCATAGGTGGCATCATCCTTTGTCTTCGAAACGGACAACTTCTGAAGAAGCTCATCCAGGACCTTGACGGACTTTTGGTTTTCCGAGGCGACAACGGCGTCGGAGGGGGTCATTGTGTCGAGAGCGGGGGCCATTTGCGCTGGGTTTAAAAGGGATCGGATGGTATATCGATGAAAAGGGAAAAGAAGAGAAAAAAATCAAACACCGAAAAGCAGTCTAAGATCTAATTATCGCAGAGGGGGAAAAGGAAAAAAAGGAAAAAAGATTAGGGACGATGGTGCCCTGAAAATTCTTTAGCGTTCCAGTGAAGATGCGGCAAGTTGTTGATCTTGCAAAGAAAGAGCAAAAAGCTAGTGCAGCGTAGAAGTGCGTCCTCCGCGTTTTCTGTTCGTTCCCGTCTATAGAGGAAGAAAAACCCCGACAAAAAAAACCGGAAATCTATTTTCAAAGAGAAGGAGAGGAGATGGTGTATGGAGGAGGAAAAAGGAGGAAAGAAGTGCAGGCACTGGGAGCGAGAAGACTCTTATATCCGAGTTTCGAGAAGGTGTGTGTGTTCAGGAGAAGGTGGGCTGAATAAAGAGGAAAAGGACGCTGGCGGCAAGGAGAATTCTCTGTGCGAGTGTGTGCGTGTGGGTGAAAGAGAGGAAGCGAAGGGGGAAAAAATAGAGAGGGAAAGGAAAAGGGAAATGACAAGAGAGAGAAGAAGAAAAGAAAAAAAGAAAGAAAAAGAATTAGGGTGATGGTGGTGGGGGGGAAATGATAATGGGAGGATAATTACTAGGGCTAACCCAGAACGGCCATCTGGCCTCGGTTTGCTCAGATCTCTCGACAAAAGTTTTCCGGGAATAGACAAGGCGAGGGCTCCCAACAATAGGAATTTACTCTACCCGCACTGGTGTGGAAGTGTCTCGGTTGACTTCCGGGTCTTGCATAGTTTGTTCGACCGAGTTGGCGCCCGTGGAAAAGATGGACCTTGACTTCGTGATATACGGTACTTGTACCGGTATGATGCCCAGGATAAGCCGCAGGAAATCGACAGGAAATAGTCACAGAATAATACGGCGACGGGCGCAGAAGCATCATGAAGGAGGAGAATCGGAACCCGCTCTGGACGGAGAGGAAAGGCCGTCTTATTGCTCGTCGGTATGGGGTGTTGTCCTCTCCCTATGGGGGTCGTTCATCGCCAACGCCTCGTTGAGCTCACGCCAACTGCTCAAGCGACTTACCGTACCGTACCGGTGTCAAGATCGACTCAACTCAACTCGACTCTCATGACACGGATACTGTAAGAGTTTCCAATTCTGAACCTGGGGGATCCCTAATTTACAAGTAAGTTACATGCACGATGCTCTCAATTCCTCATTCGTAATCTTCACATTTTTTTTTCTTATCTTTCCCTCTTGCCTGCTCACTATCTTAGCGTCTTCCCTTCTCCATCTTTTCCCCACCATGTCAGAAACCCTCACAGTCCGTGTGTTGCTTCGCCACGGTGGCTCCATCGTCCTCCGCTTCGCTACGATAGCGCTGGTGACACCCGGACCCCTTCGACCAAAAGTTGGTATGCAGAACAACCAACCCGTCCTGCCTCACTCCATCCATCCATCGTCCAGTCCAAAGGAACGCGATATCATACCCGGTGTGGTGAATCAAATCCAATTCTCCCCCGTACTCGAACGGGGCGGTGGGGCGAGAGAGAGAAGAGGAGAAAAATACGTAAAGTACAGTACAAGCACCAATACAAAAGTCCAAAAAAATTTCTTCCCTGGCACATTTTCCCACCTCCGCCGCAGGGGTGGGCTGTGCAGCACCGGCATTACCCTAAAGTACCCGAAATGGCCAATCCTCGCTCGTTGCTCACAGACGTGAACTTTCTGCTTCGCTTTGGAGCATAGTACTCGTACTTTTTCTTTGATATGCTGTGCTCACTTCATCATCCTCGCACTCTAACCAACCAAGCTCCGCCCCCCACCCCTAGGCCCCTAGTCACCCCCGTCAAAGCTCAGCACAGCGCGCAACCTTTCTTCTGGAAGTCTCACCCCCCCCCCAGTTTTTCTTTTCTTTTCACCTCTCTCTCTCCCCAGAATTTCAGCCCGGCTCCTTTTGGCCCCAGCTCACCCACCCCGGACTCGACTGAGAAAGTGGAAAGAAGAGGAGAAAGGATGCTCGAGTACAGAGCATCCTCGATTACGGGGAGACTATCCAGTGTTTCCCCCAAGTATTATCTCTCAACGCTAGCAGGTTACTTACTAGCAGAGTACTCGTACAGTACCGGTAGGGTAAAAACAAAAAAGGATACACAAGGAAGAGGCAACGGCCGGCAACAACCCATCTAAATCTAAATTATCGTGCAGAATGTAAGATCAAATCAACAACCTTTTTTTTTTCTTTTTCCCTTTTTTTTTTTCAATAGCGCCTTCCCTGTCCTGGCGGGACGCAAGTCAGAGATCCCTTGTCTCTTCCACCCTACGCTTCCAATCCCAAATTTGGAAACACCCACATCCCCCTTTCAGCGACACGACCCACCCGCATAAATGCCTGAATCAGGAGAAGTTCGAGAATAATGAGGCGAAACACCTCGCCGCCGAACTTTGTTATCCATTCATTCATTCGTCCATCCTTTCGTCCAGTCGAGGCCAAGAAATAAGGACCGACAAATGGAAAAATGGAAAAAGCGTGCGCGGTGTGAGAGGGAGAAAGTGTCGATTAATGAAAGGGAAGGGAAAAGAAAAAAAACCTTTTCTCACAAACGAGCAAGCAGAAAATTCCCACGATACTCGTAGAGCTTCCAAATCTTTTCGCTCCAGCGGACCGACGATAGAGGGTGGGTAATTTACTGACTTGCGCTGACTTATATATATGTGTCCCTGAAAAGGCACAGTATCGGGGTGATCAAGTCCGCGGGTACGAGTACTCCGTACGGTACGGTTCAAAACTGTATTACTGTACAAGTACTCGAGTACAACATGTGCGGCGGCTAGGGTCGATGCGGTGCCGGAAGTCAACAACACCAACACTCCCCAGTTAGTCTGTGATACTTGTACAAGTACATCCCAATGACCAGCGCACCGTAGCATCCACGTACAAGTACTGTACATGTAACTCCAAGCTACAGAACCCTACTCGTGCCCAGGTTGTGACGCTTAGTCACAACCTTGGCACGAGTATGGCGGAGAACGACGCGTGAATTACAAATGTTGAAAAAAAAAAGGGGGGGCTCAAACCCTCCTTCCCTTCCTCCTTCCCTCCCTGCCACAAAGCAAGGGTTCATTGACACGAACAAGGCCAAACGAAAGTGCCGTACCTACGGTACTCGAGTACCAGTACCCGTACCCAAGCTTGGGGCAGGAGGGAAGGAAGGGTGTAACCAAACTCTCGTTCTCCCATCACTCAATCATCCTTCAATTCACCCACTCTAGCTCCTCCAGTCATTGCCCATCCAAGTCAATCTCACCCCCGACCCTACCCTACCCTACCCTACGTGTTCACCTCTGCCACCGGTAACTACGAGTAACCGACCCACTTCAACCTCAACACCACAGCACGGTACCAAAACCCGTAGCTTCCACCTTCCAAGGATGACTTCTCACCTCCGCCTCCGCCTCCCCCGGACTTTCCACTCGCACAGGACGGTAGCCTAGTCTCGTCTCCTCCCCCAACAGTCTCACTCTCACTCTCACTCTCACCCCCACAATCCGGATGGAGAACTATGGGCGCGCAAGCAATCACGAATCTCACCCCCGTACCTTACCATATCGATAACGGGGGGGGAAAAAAGCGGAGTGGTACTTTCTGCTGACTAGGACTTAAGCGGACTGGTCCTTGAGTAAGCTACTCGGGCACAGTAAGCGATTGAAAAGAAAGAAAAAAACTGGAGGAAAAAACTTTAAATATGGTTCTTTATATGTAGAATACCGGACTAATGCCGCAAATGGATTGTGACCCAAGCCCGTTATTCGCTTACGGTATCCTGAGGTATGATAGCGTAATAATATCACTCCCATAGTACTCGAGTATCATCTCATACTCCTTCATAATATTATAATGTAAATTTATCCATCCAGTACTCGAGTACGACATTCATATCCCCAGGTAAACCAGCAAAAAAAAACCCCCACAGTCACTCACCACAACCAACTCTCCCAATACCCCCCCCAAAACTAACCCAACCTATCCTTCAACTGCCGCATCGTACCTTACCGGTACCTACCCTTCCATACTTACCATACCGCACCCCAATCCCCACGCTAGACACCATACCATCCCATAGATACCGGCATGTTAGATCCATACCATCTAATCTTGCATACCGTACGATACCATCAATCAAATTTTCATACCACCCGTCATATTACAAAAGTTGGAAGAAGAAAAAAAAAATCCAGCCAACAGATTCCAATCGATACCCCCAGATACCCATAGCACAGTGTCCAATCGCTCCGCCTACGCATACTAGGAAGGGTTCCACCTACTGTACGAGTACCCACCCACCCGTGCCACGATGCGATGCGATACGACACGGTACAGTAGAGTACAGTATCTGCAAAAGCGGTACGGTACCGTACTGTACACGATACCGCAACATCCTGCGAAAACCCGCGGTGGGACGCTCCCTCCCTTCCTCCCTTCCTTCCCTCCTTCCTTCCCTCCCTCCTTCGCAAAGGGGAAAAAAAAAAAAAAAAAAAAAGGTGAAAATTCACGCAGTGCTTGGCTGTGTTGGTTGGGATTCAGGTAAAGTGTGTGATAAAAATGCTGTATCATACTGTACGAGTGCGACTAAGTTTTTATGCCCTTGCAGGGATTTGAGCTGGAGTGCGAGACTGCCGGCAGGTGGAAGGAGGGAAGGAAGGAAGGAAGGAAGGAAGGAAGGAAGGAAGGAAGGAAGGGGCTGTGGACGCATGGAACGGGTGCGCCTTCTTTGAAGCGTAGTGGGATGCGGGTAAGGCAAGGCGTAGCAGTGATCGAGCAGAGTGCTGTGCTGTCCCAGTACGGTACTGTATTCTGTAACCCGTACATGTACGAGTACGGTGAGCCGGCAGGCACAGTAATATTCGAACGGTGGTGGGCACATCACAGTACAAGTACAAGTACGATACCGGTACAGCTGTCATCATGGGTTTCCGTGGATTACCGTACAGTACGCTGTGCGAGGGTGATATTAAACAAGTAAATAAGATATCATGGAGCGAAAACGGCGATACTGCAAGCTCACTCGGGAATTGGGAAACCGGACATGTCACGAGTAGGGATAGAAAATGATAATAATAATAATAATAGTAAATAAGTTGGATAATATATAAAAAAGGCCATGCCCCCGCACCGGTACCAGACCGACCAACCGACCAACCGACCAACTCAATCCCATAAATTCCATGCACCATGTCCAAAGGGATTTGGGGAACGGAGAGGGGAAAAAAATGTTCATGGAAAAAAAATATTGGAAAAACGAGATTGAATCGCTAAACACCCACTTGCGTCCATAGAAAAGAGGAGGAAGGGATCCAGAACACCACGGTATCAGATTAATCGGAGTCGCTAGAAGAGGACGACGACGACGATGACGATGACGAGCTGGGGCTGGAGCTCGAACTGGAGGTATAACTACTGACGCTTCCGTGCCTCGAATGATGTCTAGATTTCCTGAACCTACCCCCCCCGCCCCTTCTCCCGCTGAAGGCATGCCCACCACCCGTCGAATAACCATAGGCATATAACCCGCTCAACACCCCACCCTTCTTCTCGTCCACGCTCCCACCATGTGTCCGGCGACTGCTACGATGTTTGTGCGAGTGGCTACTGGCATGGCTATGCGTGTGATAGGCTCCACTGCCAGAGCTCGAGCTGGAGGAATCGTGTCGATGGCGCCCCTCTTTCTTCTCTCTTCTCTCCTTCTTTTCGTGTCTCTCATGCCTCTCGTTTTTCTCGTACTTGTCTTTCTTCGTCTTCTTCTCCTTCTTCTCCTTCTCCTTCTTCTCCTTAGTCTTCTCCTTCTTCTTCTTCTTCCTGTGCTTCTTTATCTCGAATCCGATAACGTTAGCTGCTGCCGCCCCGACCGCCGCGCCCAAGAATGATCCTCCAGAGTGATGCATGAGTTGTCCGCCCGCCGCACCCACCAGCGCGGACCCCAGGCCACGATCACCCCCTGGCGGTGGGTTTGTGGGGTCATAGCTCAGCGGTGGGTCGTAGTTCGAGTAATTGCTAACAGCGACGGTACCGGTGTCGTACGGATATTCTCCATGTTCAGAAGAGGGCCGGGAGTGGGTAAGAACTTGAGCGGACGTTCCGCCAAACGTCTGGAGATAACCTTGCGCGCCAGGGCTTAGATAGGTGTTCGGGTTTTGATATTCCTAACCTGTTAGCAGGGTGCGAGATGGTGAGGTATGAGGAGGGGGCCATACTGATGCTTGGTTTGGGTATGACGGTGGTGGGTATGTTGGTGGAGGTTGGTTGTAGCCAGATCTCGGGGCGTCTGAATAGCCCGACCCAGGAGGAGTGAAGTTTGTGTTGTAAAAGTTTGGGGAGACTGGAGAGTCCGGTTCATCACTGTACCCGGCATAACGACTATCCTCTCGCTTGTCGTAATTCCATGAGTTTGCCATATCTCAGTATCGTATCGTGTTCGCTCGTGTTCGCTCTGTCTGTGTTGTGCGTCTATTTGCGGCTCTTTCGTCTGTCTGTCTACAGTGTCTGTACGGTATTATGGAAAGTACGATAGGGTTGATATTTCACAGGCGGGGTTGAAGCACTCAGCAGCCCCTCCCGGTGAATGACTCAAGCAAAGGCAGCCATGGAAAAGAAGGGCTCCCCCATCGCATGCAATTTCGAGGCCCTCGCCCGCTTTCTTGGCGGCTAGCAGAGCACGAACAAGGCTCAGCTGTGGAAAGTCACTCCCGATCGGGCTGTCCAAAAATATGTGCGATTCAGCGCCTCACCAACACATTCCCACTAAAATCCGGCGCATAAATAAAGTTGTCCCAAGCGTGATGCTGGCGCCCGATCCAAAAAGTAAGGCTGTCGCAATTATTTCTTGGCGATGAGATTATCACTCGAAGAGCGCGATTTTTTACCCGCTGTCCCCTTATCAACCAGCCAGCTCGGCGAGATGCTTATCTGGACTGCATGCACTAGTTCAGCATACCCCGAGTGAGCGGCCATGACTTTGTGTAATCCGCCAGCTGGCGACGCACACGGAGGGAGGGGTCCGAGGGCTATCGGCACTCGAGCGACGTGCGAACACATGCTACGGTATTCGTGATTACGCACATTATGCAGCATTCTTCGCACCTGTTCAAATCGCCTTCTTTCCGGCTCCGGCGAACTTCCCCAGGCTAACACACTCTGCTGTCAGGATGGTCTGTTAATCCGACCCGGTATGTTGTTTCCCCGAGGGGCTAATAACCGATACAGACAGAGGCTCGGTCCAGGCCCGGGAGCACCGAGATTGCGGTTGAACTGTCGGACCATGGGATCATTATTATCAGGTTCTGCTTAGAACATTGTCCCGGTTGTGTTTGCTCGCGTATTAAACGCATCCAATATCCGCTGAAACTTTGTTTGGGTATCCGAGGTCCTGGATCCTTGGATGGAAAAGATTAGGTGTGTGCTTCGGCAGTGCTGCCCTGAGCCTTGGTCCCAAAGGACACACCGTGGCCATCGGAGGAAGGCTTGTGGGAGGCCTCAACCAGGCTGGGTGTTAATGCCTGGCGATAGATTCAGAGGAAACCAGTAGGACATTCCCCACAAAATAAAAATACCTGGGACGGCGATAGAAGCCAAGCTGGAGATAAAAATAAAATCTCTTCAGCAATCACAGCGTGGACTTGGGACATTATCTCCCCGCTCAAACGAATCGAGTGACACACTGTGAGTAAATAAATGATGCCCATTATTTGATGCTGAAGAGGGACCGATAACTTGTATCCCAGAAGATGGAAGGAAAGAAGAGAAAACAAAAGGAGGCCTGTAAGAGGTACCTATATGTAATCCCGCTGGACGGGAGGCCTTAAGGGAGCGATACGTGTGCGCAAGAAAACATGTCCGGGCGTGCTGTACGTTATTATACGCCATCCGCGGATCCACCGGGCATACCTAGCTGATTGGGACGAGGGGCAACCATACCGTTCCTTAAAATTCAGGACCTCGTCAGATCCTGCTCAAGTGCGCGACTCTCATTGCCAGTCACTTTTCATGGGGCAATTATCTTCACGTTCACTCACTCGCTTAAATTCTAAGGAGATTTCTCCGTGCCTTGGCCCCTTAATCTACGCATTTCCATGATTTCCCCGGTGACTGCCATGCAATTCCCTTCGCAAGCTAGGTGACCGGATAGTGAGGAAACAAGTGTCAGAGAAAGGACTTTGGCTTTTGTGTTTGCAGAGCTATTGAGGTCCGGCAAGCAGAAAGGGGGAGATCTCGAAGAGACCATTCGTCCGGAGTGCCGAAATTTTGCGAGGGCCGAGCGAATGCCGATGGATCAATCTTGAATATACCTTACAACCAGCCCTGACAATCCGCTCGCCCAATACACTACATTGAAACCCATTCCCATAGTCACGAATAGAGGGGGAAAAATAGAAACAAATGAGCAAGTAAGGTTATTTGGTTTGAATCAAGTTAAAAAGGCGACGAACAAATCAATTACCCCCAAGCTGGACTAAAAAGACACAGACTACCCTGACTAGATCGCTCATGCCCCAATCCCACAAGCCCCATCAACCCTGATGACCCTCACCCTCGAACATATTATGGCCGGGGACCCTGTTCTTCACGTTCTTTGCGGTGGCGTCATAGCCAACAGCAATGACACGCAGCGGGCCTTCAAATCGGGCCACCTCTGTCCCAGAACGGCGTTTTACCAAGGGGCCCTTCGAGATGACGATGTTTTTGAGATTGAACCACCAGATTGAATCGACAAACCTGTAGTCCAAGAGTTTGGCCTATTTTGATTTTTTTCAGAGCTGATCCCGAAGATCTAATAGTCAGGCTGCATGTGGGGGGAGGAGGAGCACATATATACCTTCAATTTGATCTCAACACCGCACTTTTCGATATTGTCCTGAACAGAGACATCGTAATTGTAGATGATTCTGCGAGCCAAAGAGTGGGTGATCTTGCCCGATTCGACAAGTTCGTCAAGAGCATCGATGAGGGCCACGCAAACGCTTTCCATTGCCACCAGATTTCACTCTCGTCAGCCTTCGTTGGATCCTTTACGAAATATTTTGTTCGATCGGGCCGAGAGGAGTCCCATGGGGAAGGGTACATCATACCTCGCACGGCGGTAAATATCCCAGACCACGGGATTTCCGTTTTTCATATACTTCATTTTTCCCGATTTATTTTTTTGCAGTCGAACTAGGAAAGTTGAAGCTTGCGTGTTGGCGGAATTGGATGTGTGTGGCGGGGAGGGGAAAGCTCTGGTGGAAGTGGGTGGAATTTATACGGAGTCAATGTGCGGGTAGCCCTACGAGGAACTGAAAAGCCCTACGAGGAACTGAAGAGCCCTAATAGGGAACTTTTTTTCTTTATAGGATATTCTCTTTCAGCTAGGTTTTCAGGTTTGCTCTAGGGTAGGGTTCCCACCGCCTCTGGATGGGATACGATAGTGATCTATCATACGCCCCTAATATGATACCACCGGTCCTCGTCGTTTACGGGCCTTTCTGAGTCTTTTTTTATACCGTAGTGTATGACACGAAACGGCTCAAGCTTGGTGAGTTCATACGTGATCACCCGTATTTTTGGGACATAGAGTCGGGGGTGTTGCTCATCTAAACTATTTGCTTCTAGTGCCACCCAGAGCTTTCCTTTAGTGTACACTAAGTTACATGTTATCATATTGAGACTTTAGCAGTAGAGCCTAGCAGAGCCTAGAACTCCGAGACGGATCATTACAAACCCTCTCTGCGGACTCAAACATGACTGAAGGGCAAACACAGTAAGGTGCAAACCGCAACTCACCGGCAAAAATCAGAACCACTCCTCTGACCCTAACCTACCATATTTCTATGCTGGCGGCTCCCGACCTGAAAGCCATCAGTGCCTCGGAGGGATTTCTATGGGCTCTGAATGGTTTTGTACCCCTCTATCACTCATCTATCATCGCCTTAAGCTGTCTAAAGTCCCCATGGTTGTATATGTCCGGTAAGTGACTTCCCCAGACACCCTTATCCTTCCCTCGCATCTCTCTCGTCCACCAGCATTCCTATTGTGTCAATGCTTTAAATAGGTAGATATCTCGCGGCCGACAATCTGTGGCCAAGGTGTTTGGTCTGTCTTCTCTCGTTTATCAAGTCCCCCCTCTAGACCTCCGCCTTAAATACCCCATCTGAAATGGCCTCCTCACTCCAGCTTATCTATCCCTTCTAGCTCCAGCCTTGCGGATACACAAATTAAAACAAGATAACACGAGCCCTATTCCCCTCCCCGACAAAGATTAATTCCCCTGGAGTGTATTAAAAAAAAAATACCGTCCTCAGAGAGGGACGGGGAGGCGAGGGCGGAGAACACAGGGTCCAGTACAAAAAGCCATATATCGGATCCTTGCCTGTCCCTCTCCCCTCCCCCCCACTCTTTCTCCAAAAAAAAGTCGTAGCCCTGAAGAATGACGTAGCCTAGTAGCAATTGAACATTCCGTCGGTAGCCACTGGAGATGATCCGAGATGGGGCACACGCCTGAGGGATTCAAGTTCCTGGCTGGCCCGAGAGATATGTTAAGCTCCTAGTAAAACCGGGATGTCCCATGGGGAAGCACAGGGTGCCCAATGGGGTATATAGCGCGTGAAAGCTACAAGTTAGCATCGCAACCCAAAATGACCACCTATCAACGTACCAGTATCCGACCTTATTGGGCGGTCTGCCTCAGTGGTATGATGTATTATATGTATAACGGTATGACGTATGTATAATGGTATGACGTATGTATAGTGGTATGATGTATGTGCATTGCCCACTGGCATACGCATTTCCCCTGCTGTATGTACCGATATTCCTATTGCGCCAGTTTTTTTTTCCGAATACAACAGAGCGAAGAGGACAAGCACTCGTTGATATATGTGCATACCATTTCTTTTACATTTTACTTTCGTTAGGTTATCATTTTCTTCCTCATGCGGATTCTGGCTCCTTAAGCTGCTGTGTGGCCTTTAGCCTTTAGCACTTCATTTGCGAGAGGATAGACATCACAGAGATGATACTAAAGTTCAAGTACATTGTAACACCCATTTAGACAATAGAAGACCTCATATCAGCGTATCTTACTCCTCCACCCGAAGGTGGTATGCGCAAATTTGTAGACGCGAGCCCGCCATGAGCACCAGCGCGGAACCAGGGACCCCTCACGTACAAACTGTGCTATTCTCATTCTGGACACTGTCACCTACGATACTTTAACCGTTTATCCCACACCTGGATAACGAACTGTGCCAAACAATCCGTGACAACTTCCTTAGGAACCGAGCGCCGTACTCTTACCAGCACCTCTCCACCTTAAATTGAAAAAAGAAAAAAAAATGGACACGCCAAATAGTGCTGCAGTATCCCCAGGACGTACCATACAAAGCAGTACAGTTGCGAGTGATCGTCCGGCACCGAGTGATGAATGAACGAGATGCTCATCACTCCAATCCCAGCGCTAAACACCGGATAAAAGAAATTGGGAAACGAAAAACCTTCACTGTAGTGAGGTAATCCAACCCCTCCCTGGTCTCGGGTGATGCATGACACACATAAACCACTGCTCGTCAACCAACACTAAAATTTCATGTTTGATGTCGCCCGTGGCGGCATGAGGGCCCATGTATCATCAGGGTGTGCCAGTAAATACCCAAGATAGCCAATATGAAAGGCGCGAAACACGGGCCCGAGTTCCGTAAGTGGTGTTTGTTTTGCTAAAATGGAGTAGTATTGGTAGAGGGGAGGGGGCAAACAACAACCTCAAGAAATAAAACCTTCTCATCATTGTATATACCCCCTCGTGTGAAGCATCCGTTCCGGAAAGGTTCACATCATTACCATAACATCTGTTACCACCCTGCTAGTCAGCTCCCCAAAACCAATTTTGACAATCTTGCTGGTGCGAGTGAAGAGTAGTGACTGAAAAGCACCACTACACTCGCGGATTTTTCATAAGTGTGCGCACACTTGGCGCCAAGGGTATCCGGATATCTTTGGCAGCACTCGATGGACCGGAATAGCGACGGCCATTTCCAAAGTATCGATACCAAAAGTCACGCTAGAGGGTCGGCACAGATATCACGCTCACGACAATCCGGAACCAGTATTCCAGTACCGACAAACAGACTCAGAGTCCCGAATCCTCTTCCTCTCCTCAAGACCCCAATCTCCCATAGGTACGTAGACGAATGCACACAAACGGCCTTGCAAAAAATACAGGAGCGCCAAATTCGAAAACGGCATGTTATAAAATCGGAAACCAGACAAAAACCCCGCCGTACCCGCACAGCTACGGTAACATATTACTGTATGCACGGTCAACCGGTATCTAGGAACTCTCGCTATACTGTAGGTTACCGGTACGGCGATCTTTCAATGCGCCACCTGCTTGCCTGCGGCAGGAAGGCGGACAGCGCCTTTCCCAACCTCAGGGATGGGGCGCAGTGACTGAGGACCGCCACACCGGTACGGCACTATACTCGAGCACATTCTAGACCGAGACACCTTGGTTAGCTTTCACAATACCAGTACCGGCACTGGTACCGTATGAGCCAGATTCTCTCTCTCACGGCTTGGTTACACGGAGAACGAAAGTATTTCCGAATCCATAACAACTATAACCGCCAGCGGTACAGTAGCCGCCGATTCATGATAGAAACACCCATTCTCGCCAATAATGACCTGAGAAACCCTGCTCAACGTGATCCTGTCATTTACCTGTACGAGCACAGTACTCGTACAGTGCCAGTCGCGTAGTGAATCGCAGTAGCGCCGAGATCAGCTAAAACTTGAGATATATGCGGGTATCCATAATGCCAGTACCCGTCCGCAATAGCACGAGTACAGTACTCGAGTGCATGACTCCTGGTACTTTTTACCTACTGCTGACATCCGTCATCATGCCTTGGATGATTCATCGCAACAGAAAGATAGTTTCGCTCTCTCGGCAATAACCCGCGATAAGCCGAACCTTAGGATTCTATCGGCAGTTCTATGAGTCAGCGAGGAGTTGAGCTCAATGCAGATCGTAATGTTTTTGTTTGCCCGGGTGGGTGCTCCGACGATGAGAGTCATCCTTCGACATGAGCGCGAGCTCCGTGGCGCCTCTCCACCTAACGGTATTGGCCGCACCGGATTAGCGGCCGTGCTACATAGCACGATTGTTCCAGCGAAAGAGAAAGAGAAAGAAAGAAGAGAAATCTGCAGAGCGTTTCAAGTCCCGGCCAGCCACCTGGACTCCAGGAGCATCCGATGCGCGAGTCGAATACCAGTGTAAAGAATGAGCAGCCTACCGTTAAACCCGTAAAACCCAGGCAGACACCATCACCTTCACAGTTTCTCCCCAAGAGTCCGACGGGGTAAAGAACAATCTCAACGCTCGTGTTGAAGTCCATCATCACCCAGATGCGTTCATGCAGTACCGGCCCTCCTCTTATATCCCAAGAACCACTCATATTTCTACGGGTATCATACGGGTACGCACTCGAGCACCGGTATGCACCGGTATCCAAAGCTTGTTTCTTTTTTCCAACATCGCCAGGGGCAGATATAGACAGAGTGTTGGGCATCTCAATACCGGTACCGTGCTTCTTTTTCTTTTTCTTCCCCCCTTTTTCGCACAGTGCTCTATTCATATCCTTCTAGAGATATGATGCCATTTCACAGTAAAACATAGTTACCAGAGGAAGTTAGGCTCACTTCGTTTGGTGGAGCAAAAGCCCAAAATGAGGAGCGGTGAAATTTCATAAAATGAGTGATGTCCCAATAGCGTATGGTATCCGATAATTCCGTGGGTGAAGCTTAGGAAACGGAATACTACGGTACTCGAGCACCGGTACCTACCGCACTTGACGATCGCGGTACGTACCTATGTCTGGCATAAAGTGTCGGAAAACGAAACAGTTTTTTTTTCTTCTTTCACTAGATGAGTGCTTGTGTAACAATGGCAGGATTTTCAAATATCACACTTACTGACAGATGAACTACTGTACTTGGGGGGTGCAGTTATCGTCCAATGGCACTTGTACTGGTAAAGGTACCATTCATTCATGTCCCCCGAGCACTTATTGCTGCACTCATCGCACTTTACCCCGACAATTTACGAGTGCGGCCGATAGATATATTAGTCACGTGGGTCTGATAAGATAAAAAATTTGGTTGTCCCTCCGTCCCCCAAGTTGAGAAATTCCCTTCTCAATAACCAAGGATCCATACTGCCAGCACAGTACCAGTACCCGAGTACCCCAATACATGCATTCCGTCAAGCTTTCCTCCCCCCTCTTGGGAATCTACCGAATCCCCCGGAATCGCAGTTTCCCGCACTATCACATCCCACGGCATCCCACAAAGGCACGGGTACGTATACCTGTACTGGCACTACGTTAGAGCCGCGTCTCTTGTTTTCTTAGCCAGATATGAAAATTTGGCCGCCAGCAAGGTAACACTAGCTCTGCAAGTCCGCATTTGACCCAGAAAACCTCCCCTTCCCCCTTTATTCTTCTTCTCGGTGCAGCAACGTGAGGCCTAGCAACGCCAGCTCTCATCAATAGAATTCTTCTCCTCGATCTCCTCTCCCCGCACAAGACTAGACTTGGTCAGATACAAACTTCACTTTTACTTTACAAGGCTAACAAGGTGATAGAATGTCTGCTACAGTACTACGAGATTCGTTCGTTTAAAAAGAACCTGGACCTTCCTGAAAGATAAGCCACAGAGGTTGGGAAGTAAGTTTTTATTCCGGATATTTGTGGAAATTGAGTAGTGGGCTACAAATTAACCCAATCTTGTGCTCCCCAGAATGGATGTCAAAGAACCCGACTCTCACTGCTGGCTTTGGAGGAACCGCCTTGGTGATTGCCGATGCACGCCTTGGCCGCTGGGATATCCAAAAAGAAATGTATGCCTCTCGGACATATACCGGTATTGATAACCGGTTCACCGACATCGGTAGGCAATTCACCAATGTCAGTAATCAGCTTGACAATATTAACAAGAACCTTGTCACTACAGATAATAAGCTTACCGAGCTTGGTATCGAGGATGTTCTGACCCAAGGACTTGTTTTGAGGACGGCAATTCTGACCCTTGAGGCCATAGAGGGGTAAGGAGGAGATAGGAAAAGTGGTAAAGGAGATGAAGGTCCTGATCAGCGTTCGCAGGCGGCCAGGCCGGCCTGCAGATAGCCTGCAGATGCATAGTCCGGCCCGGCCAGGTCAAAGTGAAACTGACCTGGACTTTGTAGGCCAGGTTTTGGTGAAGCCTATAGGCTACGTGGATGCCTGGGGGCACCGGTAGGCTTTTGGCATATGCCACCTGACCAGTAAATATTGTGTCTGTGCACCACTGATATCTGAAGATGCCCACAGATATCTACAGTCCGGCCAGACCCGGTCAGATAGGTCACTAAAGCCGGACTATGGCCTGCAGTCAGGCCCGGCCGGTCACCAAAGAAACCCAGACCGGCCGCCCTGGACCTCAAGCCTGGCCGGACTGGCCGCTTGCGAACACTGCTCCTGATAGAATGCAATGAGGGGGGTTGCGGCGAGGAGACGAAAAATTAAGGGTAAGTCATCGAGTTTGACTTTAAGTGGCATAATTACTAACTAGAATCAGGCGGGTGGGCAGGCGGGCGGGCGGGATGGTTTCAGGCCTTGGTGTTTTTAATAATAATTAAAGGAATGTCTTAATTGTTTACGGTACTTTTTTATCAGATTGACTATCTCCGTGCGGGGTTCTGATCTCGGTATGAGAAGGCTATGCCCCCTCATATGGGGATTGGGGCCCCGCTCGGAGATAGTCAATCTGATAAAAAAATACCACTTTTCATGGTGTTTTAACATGGCTCCTATACTCGTGCCTCCTCGCCAAGAGTTGGCACCCGTTTTGGAATAGCTGCCACCGACCTATAAGCAGTATAGCCTTCAATTTACCACCTCCCCTGCCTAGTATCCCAATAATCAACGGACTGTAAATACAGAAATCAAAGTAGTAATCATTTACACAAACAGAATCATGCATTAAATCTATTACCTCCTCCACATGCTTGAACTTGTAGCAAATTTGTGTGAAAATTCATACAGAAATGATCAACCAGTTCCTGGGGCATACGCTCCCACTCAATTATCAAGTAGTCACACCATACTACATTTCGGTTTATGCTCACTATGCCGAAACAGGTACCAACTCTTGGCGAGGAGGCACGAGTACTGAATCTGTGCTGACAAACAACTTACTGTAACAATTGCTATACAAAGTGTCCAGCTTCAACTTGGCCACACGAGCACCGGTTTGATAACAGCGCAGTTTTGTAATAACAGTATTCCACCCGGGGTGATATTTCGTGAAGCAACTTGCATAACGTATGCTTGAGCTCGATTCAGGCTGGGCAGCCGCTACAGTATCTGGAGCAGGAATATTCTATCGGTAACTGGGGCATTCGGGCCACCTCGTCTATTGATAAATGCTACTTTTGATGGGGGCTTTTGTTTTGACCGATTTATTGGCATACTTTATCGCGGCTGACAGAGCGCTTCTATATATGAGTTAGTTTAGACCTTTATTCAAGATAGCAACCAAACCTTGTTATGTTACCGAAGGTAGCAGCGTCGGAGTCACAGATTACAGAAGTGTCTTTTGCTCATGCCTGGAGGACCCCGCGATGCAGTAAAAGAAAGCATTGCCCGCACACGGTGCAGTGCATACGATACAAGTACT